CGCAGGTTGCGGATTCCGTGGGAGGCTTGTTGGGGGCTTTTGAGGGTGAGGGAGGCCCATAGGTTCATTTTGAATACACATGTAGATGTAGTGAATGCAGCGGTTGTAGTGTCTTTTTCCTCCCCAAAAATTCAGAAACTCAGAGGCGCGACAAAGCAATCGCATCCTCTATCCCTGCACTGCAGGAGCCCTTTTTGCTTTTGTTGAGGGCTTCAGAGTACCTGTCCTTGGATGCGCTGGTGTATTCCTTCAGCTCGATTCAATGCATTCTCCCGGCGTCGGCGGTGGAAGAGTACCTGACGGTCGCATCACTGCTTCCACTGGCCTTCATCTTGTCTTTGCTGCTCGTGCACTCTGCGTACGTCTGCTGGAGAAGGACTGGTCTGCGCCTGGATTTGCTTGGAAAGACCGTCGGCTCGTTCTGTATGCTCTTCCTCATCTCAATTCTGTCGTCAATTCTTGAGCCCTTGTATTGCAACTCGCATCCAAGCGGAAGCAGGACCATGCAATCCCGTGATGACGTGCTCTGCAATTTCCGTGGTGAGCACCTGGAGATCTGCATGGTCGCCTTTGTCCTATGTCAAGTTCCGATTGCCTTCTTCGCTACCTGTGTTCGGATTCTCTTTGTCGATCTTCCGAAGCGAATTCAAAGGGCTGACGTCAACTTTGTGAATGCCTGTTCTTTCCTGATTCTGCGATACCGCCCGGGTGTAGAGGCCTTCGCGGTTGTTGTCTTGATCCGGAACGTGCTCGTGACGCTTTCTCCTCTGATTGCATCTCAGGCCGGCAGTTTGCTGGTGCTCTGCACGGCCCTGTACAGCACTTTCGGTGGGGTGGCATTTTGGATGCCATGGCGGACGAAGCTGGCTACGTACACGGATCTGGCGATGCATGCCGGCTTGCTGTTGGTCCTGGACATGGGCAAGTTCTATGCTCCCACTGTGGAAGATGGATACACTTTGATGACCATATGTTTCGTGGCTAGCTGCATCATGCTCGTTTGGGGCGTCCTGGTAGTCGTGTCGGCCGCGCAGCGCCGCTGCTCAAAGCAACGGCGCTTCCGCTTCGCCCTCAGCCACCACACGCCCGAGGCGGGGACATTGGCGCGCTTACTGAAGCTCGAGCTGCAGCAAAGGCACAACTTGCGGACCTTTATCGGCTCGGATGATCTGGCCGATCTGACGCAGCATTTCACCTGCATCGCCCGGGATGTCGACACACTGGTGGTCGTGGCAGGCCGCGACTTCTTGCTGCAGAGGTGGTGTGTCGGTGAGGTGGTGACAGCTAAGGCCCATAGCGTTGAGGTTGTGCTGCTTTCTATACCCGGTTTCGTCATGCCGGATCGGCAGTTCATCGAAGCGTACGAGACTTTCGTGCCGCGTGTTAAGGAGCTTGCTGTCCATGCAATAGCTCTTGGACAGATTCAAGACACACTCACATGGTTGAGTTCTGTGGAGCGCTTCGACATGAATGACTGCGATCCTGAGATGCTGACACGTACAGTCGGATGGCTGGTCAGCAATGACACCAGCGGTACGAAACGCTCCTCCGTCTTGGAGGCCAGCCGTTCCACAAGCGTTGAACGGACCACGTACCTCGTCCTAGCGGACACGACGCACATAGAGGCACAGGCCGCAGCTTATGCCCTCTACATGGTGCTGGGTGCGAAGATGTTAGAGCTGTCCTTCAAGGGATCGCTACGCGTGATGCGCCCCGGGGATGGGGATGCAGCTGACTTTGTGTCTGGCTCGGGCACAACACAAGCGCTGCTGCTCTGCACAGCAGGCTGTCTGGAGGTCCCTCAAATAGCTTCCTGGCTTCTGCAGCTGGGTCGCCTCCACTCCAGCTGCATCCTGCCAGTTGTTGCGGAGGACTCCTTTCAAATCCCTTCCCTCGATCACAACAAGCTAGCCGGCCTTTCCCTTTGCGACGGGCTGGATGGCTTGGACGTGAATCTGTACACCAAGGTCCTGGAGGCTGCCTTCCATGAGATTTCGGTGCCTTTCATGCCCAGGACGAGGGAGGGTTGCAAGAGGCTCGGGATTGCGGCAACGTAGAGACCTGAACGGTCGTCACGAGAGGGATGGCCATAGCGATAGGAAAACATGTAGATTACAGTCTGAATGGTCCGCAGTATCCGATTCTGATGGTGATGTTCATTGTAGCAGTTCTTCTGACGATGATGCGGGTAGGCATGTGCTGGTATGGTCCTTTACCATTACCACTGGCGAGCATTCATAATTCATAACCAAACAGTTCCAGTAGAGACATGAAGAGCAGACCAGGGTACCAACGGCGATCCGAAGAGTCCAAGTCCAGGTGCTGACCCCTGTAATCGGATAAAGGTTGTGCAAGTTGATAAGACTACTACTGTAGCACGTGCAACAGTATAGCGAGAGTTGTGTCATCATCCGCTGGTTGATCGTTGCCAGGAGCTCCAACGAAAGGCAGCTGGACCTTCAGGCGAAGATCATCGTCGAACGCCTCGCGCAGAATCGAGAGCCGCTCCAGACGAGACCTTCCATGACCGTCTTCCCAGGTGGGGCGGGTCCCAAGAAGACAGGAACGAGAGAGACTTTCGAGGTATCTGCAGAGAGGTCAGGAAGACATGTCAGAGAAGAACTCTCCAGGTGCGGACGCGGGAGACTCTCTGATGGTCGATCTGTCCTTCAGTGACGGCTCCGAATCTACAGTTGGGATCTAAAACCCGTCTTCGTTTTGGAGCATCTAATCGAATCAGTGAAAGACGTATACGGTGGTCCTCTTGGGGCCACGGAACTGCACAGCACAGAACAGAATATTGCATACTTTCCCTTCTTATACTCATACTATAGCCTTACCCAAAAGCCTGGTAAACAAAACAACCTACAGTATGTGACATGTGATTCCATTTTTCATCGGCTGCATCTTGCAGCTTTTTGTGCCCGTCGGCAACCGACAGGGCCTTCAAGGGTTGATCCCTACAGTAGCGCTTCACGTGAGGAGCTGCTCCTTCAGGTTGGTCGGCTTCTTCTGTGACTTCAGCACTGTCCAGTAGCCGTAGGACTAGAATTATCGGCAGTAACATTAGTGGTGGTAGTAGTAGTAGTAGTAGTAGTAGTAGTAGTAGCAGTAGCAGTAGCAGTAGCAGTAGTAGCAGTAGTGGTCGCAGTAGTAGTAGTAGCAGCAGTAGTAGTAGGTGGTGGTAGTAGTAGTAGTAGTAGTAGTAGAAGTAGTAGCAGGTGGTGGTAGTGCTAGGTAGAGGTTGTCGGAGTAGTAGGAGTGGTAAGAGTAGTAGGTGTAGGAGCAGGCGTAGGAGGAGAGGAGGAGTGGGAGCAGGAGTAGGTGTCGGAGTCGGCCTACGAGTAGCTGTACGGCGAGGATCAATTCATACCAATTCCAATGATCTCCCAAGCAATCGGCAATTCTTTTTTGTGCTTCTTCGGCTTCGTCGCAGAGGGTGTTTCTGGTTCAAGTTCAAGGTTCAGGCTACTGCCGAAGTCTGCTCCTCAGAGATCAGAACCGATGGCATTGGTAAATACAATCCCCGGCTCGACAGAATTTAGGACCTTCCCAAAAGGACCCAGAAGAGGGTGGCACCAGGAAGTTCGTAACCGATGCGGTTTCATCTGCATTGACTACAGAAAGGTTTGCATAAGTACATGGTTGCAGCTTGGCAGAGCGACCCTTTGAGACCTGGAGCCCCATGCAGGGTCCTTGGGGGCTCTCTCGGTAGACTCTCGAACGTCTGCTCCGCGCGGCTTGAAGATGCTGTGCATTCGTTGGTTGGCGGCTTTCATACAGGAGGCTTCTCTAGTTCATGCACCAGGAAAGAGTATAGTAGTATAGCGAACATGCTCGGGACACCGCTGAAGTAGAGTAGAGTCTTAGTGGAAAGATATTCCTACGCCTCCTGCTGCTGCTACTGTTACTGCTGCTGCCCCTGCTCCTGCTGCTCTTGCTTATGCTCCTGCTGCTGCCCCTGGTGTTCCTGCTGCCCTTCTCCTGCTGCTCCTGCTGCTGCTGCTGTTGCCGCTGCTCCTGCTACGGCTGCTGCTATTGCTACTGCTAGTACGTTTACTGTTGCCACTGCTGCCGCCACTGCTACCCCTGCTTGTAGCTGTGGCGACAGTAGTAAATTGGTAGTTGCCGTGTTCAGTCAGTGAACTATGTAGTTGGCTCGCCCAGATGTTCTGCCTTTCCATGCCAATGCGTTTACAGATGTGACAAGAGGCCTCTTCACAGAGCTTTTCATCAGCTCCGTCACTCTATCCCTACTCATTCGCTGGTCTCATCACTGGCTGGATGTTGCCGATTACTCAGCAAGACGCTGCACCATCTGGGTCTTTTCAGCTCCGTTTGTATCGGACGGTCTTGGTAGGTTCCGGCTTGAGATGGTGTAAGACGGTCGCAGTCATTCATATTCCGCAGTTTTTCCGCTCGACCGGCTGAAATTGTAGAGGGCTTCGTGCACGCATCGGCTAGCGCAATCGAGTGAGCAGACATGCAGGAGAGTCACGACAGAAAATCATAGTAAATTGCAAAATTCTGTTTGTACGAATATGAATAATCTTAAGAAATTGCCGATTTTGGTGGCCATGCGTGCTAGCGCGATGGCAGGTTTGTTTTATGTGGCATTGGTGCTGCACTTGCCGTTGCCGGCCACCTCTGACTTGTGCTTGGAGTCAGGTATTGCGGACGAGAACCGTACATTTTTGCAGGACGAGCAGGGAGACGATCTCCCGATTGGCCTCTTCACCTACCTCCGATCCTCTTCCAAGGCGGTGTCGCAAGTCGCCGCCATCTTGATTTCGGAGGTTCTGGGCTTCCATGTGGGCTACAAGCAACTTTGGTCCACCTTCACCAGGCGGGAACAATCTCTCTGGCTTGCATGCAGTGATATCGATTGGAGGGCCTGGTTCACGCAACCGTGCGTTCCTGGCGAGAATCGATTTCACATTGCCTTGGACGCAGGCTCGCTGGACAAGTGCGCATTCCGATCCTGACACCCTGAACCCTAAACCCGAGCCGGGGGTCTTGAGACCTAACAACTTCGAAACTCGCATAAGCCCCTCTCTGGGCTGGTGGGACACGCATTTTCGGAACCGCCACGAGCAGGAATCGGGTCGAGGCCCTACGAGCTTGAGTTCACCAATCCCCATTACGCGCTGGACAAGTGCTGCGGGGACAGCCCAAAAGAGCTCGGCTCCATGGGGTGCCTTGACTTGGAAAGGGTTCCCCTCTCCTTTTTGGGGGATTCAATCTAAGGTTGACAGATGTTAGGGTTCAGGTTCAGGCTGTGGGATGTCAAGAGTGGGGATTCAGAGCTTCCATGGAAGCCGGTGGATCAACTTTCCGAGCCCAGCGGAATGGATCTACGAGGCAGTGCAGTCTGTCCTGCTGTGCCGAGGACAGCCCCCAAAGGCAAGCTAAGAAACCAGCCGCTGCGAGTCGCGCTGAAGAGCACCCCGCAACCCTTGTTAGGTATCGTGGTCGACAGCAGCTCTACATGAAGCGAGCGCAAGTGGAGGCAGCATTGGAGGAGCGGGGATTGATGGAGCTCTCCTTTTGGCGGCGAAAGTTGGGCTGGGTTCCGGTTTCATGCTCTGGGCCCTCTTGAAAAACTTGAAACTTTGCCAGACCCCGGCTTGCTGAGCTCCTTCTCCAGTGTCCTTTCAGGTGTCGGTATTAGGGTTTACTGCAACAGCGAAGGGACTTTCTTTGGATGTGTTTTTTGGTTGTGGTGGGGCCTTTAGGCACTATTGCTGCTGTTGCTGCTGCTAGATTAGATGAAGCCAGTGTCTGCCTGTCTTCTTCTGGTTAAAGCTGCTGCCGAGAGAGCCCCTAAACCCTAAACCCTAAACCCTAAACCCTAAACCCTAAACTACAAGCATTTACCAGCTGCCAGTTGCGGGTTCGATGCAGACTTCGCTACGGAACAGTCCCTGGCTCAACGTGCCATTCAGGATGCATGGGTGGCAGTGTCAAGCCCAGTCGAAAACGGGTGCAACTTTCAAATTTCGCAAGAATGGGCTGCCTAATCCCTAATACGGGTAGAATCGTAACTACAAAATCAGAGCCGGACGCGTAATTTAGGACTGCGCCGCAGTTTTGTAAAGGTTTCACAATACTGAGCTATGGAATCTTTCCCTCGCTCCGATTAGTTAAGTCCGCAAAGCGCTCGAGCCTCGAGACGAAACTATTGGACCATGCCTACTGCAGCGAGCTTACCATTTTTGAGACGAAACAATGAAGCTGAGCCGAACATATGGCTTGTGCATGTATTGTCTACCAGTGGTGGGCGGCCTGTGCCACCACGATCGTCTGGAAAGCAATTTGGTATTGCAGTGCTTTTGCTGCCGAGTAGAAAAGAGCAAGGACCATAAGGACCATGAGCATCATACTCAGTCATACTGATAGTATGATGTGGGTCATTGCTGCTTTTGTTCTGAACGTTGGAGGATGGCCTCATCCTGAACTTACATGGCAGCTACAACACCTCGCATCATGAAGCGAAGAAGTATTTCGATGGACTGGACTCCTTGAACTTCAGCCACTTCGTTACGTGCAACCGCACGTTCAATCCTTGGATGCCTTCCAGTAGCTGGGTTCTCGCTAAAGGATTCAGTTCCATTTGCTGCCATAGTAGGTGTATATCGTAAAGTCGTAAATGATAGAGATCTTGCAAGGGTGCTAGGAATTGTGCTGAAGTTAACAAGAGTCCAGGTAGGGACCTGGCCTCATACCTCGAATGGACCGGCGACGTGGATGGGGTCACTCAGGATGCAGACGGATCTTACCAAGCTCAGTGCCTTGAGGATCGTTTCTGGATCGCACCAGCCTGCCGCCAGAACGTCACAAGCTGCATTGCCACGGTCACCTTCGCGGGCTACCTGTGGCTCTCCATGATGCACTGGTCGCTGCGCTGACAGGGATCTCCCAAGCGAAGCTCCCCAAGGGTTTGCTACCCATCGTTGGATGTTAGCGAAGAAATCAGAGCACCCACGTGCAAAGCTTAAGACTCGAGACGTAAGAGGAATTCGCGACACTGACAATCGAGGTCCACCGCCCATGGTTTGCCACTGGCCTTTGGAAGCTACCCCGATGAGGTTAACTTTTTCGAGAAGATGAAGTACGGGAAAACCTTGTTCTACTGGTGGGAGCCGGAGAACTACCGGTATCTGGGCAGAAGAAAGGGCGCTTCTGTTCCAACAAAAAGTTCGTTTCCCAAGACTGAGCAGCTTAGGTTTGATGTGGACAAGGTGCCTCTCATCCTACCTGTGCACAACTCCAGCGAGTGGGCCATGGGGAGGCGGAGGACGGAGGAGCCACCCGGGTATGTGGGGAAGCTGGTAAGCTCGAATCTCCAGAGTAAGGCGCCTCGAGTGTACACCTTGATCGAGAGGTTTGCTTTCGACATTCGGATCCTGGAGGAAGTGGTTCAAGTCCTTGCTGAGGGCGGCGTCTCCGCCAGAGATCCTCTTGGGGAAGGAGACGATGTGATCTTTCGCGCGGCCTGTGACTGGGTCAAGTCCAGCGAGTCCGTGTGGAGGAACTGGATTCCTCTGCCCACCACGTGCGACCCAGGGTCTGGTATTGCTGATGCAGGACGGGGTAATTGCAGATCTGCTTTCGGGGGTTGGCGACACAGGAGCCGATAGGGTGATTCGGGTTCGGACTTGCTTTCCGGGATTGCGCAAAACAAGACATGCTCTGATGAAGAAGTGGCTCAGGTGGCGAATTTCTGCTCATTCGTGGCGACGAAGCAGAGGGTTGCAGCGTATGTTCGCCTGGTCGTTTCTCGGAGCCCCTTGTGGATGGCGACGGTTTCACTTACCGCTGTGCCACGTGCCCCCCGGGCACTTATCAGGAGTTTGGGGGCCAAGCTAGGTGCAATAACTGCGCCTTGGGCCACGCAACAAATGAGGCGGGCGCCACGGAATGTGGCCTCTGTCCGTTAGGTACCTTTGCAGACCAGGAAGGCCACACGGCCTGCGAGAGCTGTGGGAACGAGGGCTGGACCACCAAGGAGCTGGTGAGCCATCTGGACGACGGCAGCAATCATGGTGGTGCTCATCGATGGATCGAAGTGCGTGGGGCAACCTCCAAGGACGTTTGTGCGTGCATAGAAGGCCGCCACTTTTGGCAAGGCCAGTGCGAGTTGTGCCTGGAGGGTGCGACTTGTCTTGGACCTACGAACCTCACGCTCAACCCGGGCTTCTTCGCTTTCCCCGAAGATCCCGGCAACGTTTTCCACTGCTTCGGCAACTCGCAACGCTGCCCGGGTGGCTTTCCCGGCAGCTGTGCTGCAGGCCGCGATAACCGGAGCTTGGCCTGTGCCCAGTGCCTGCCGGGATTCCAGCCACAAGCAGACGGCCAGTGCCGCGAATGCGCTGCAACGGACTTTGCCATCGTCGTTGGCCTTTGTTTGCTCGGGGTTTTGGTTGTGGGCTGTCTGCATGCATCGCTGATCGCAGAGGGGCAGTCAGACGGCCATGGCAGGCAGCATGGGAGCCTGCTGAATGCGGTGTTGGGCTTCAACCAACTGGTGACTTGCGCACAGGTGTTTGGCATCATGCGCAGGTTGCGGATTCCGTGGGAGGC